ACAAGTTGTTACAAAAGCTGTTTTCTATTTGTATCATTCATGTCAGCTTTGAAGAGGCAGCTCTTCCCTGATTTTGTCTTGAGTACCTTCCTACCAGAGGGACTAATCTTCCGACATTGTAGCTGACAGTGTTCTGCTGCTATTCATAAGGTTTTCAGTAGCTGACTATACAAAGGTGGTCTGCCTCTCCTTCCTTTGTCTGGGTCAGTTTGGAAACTTCATTGAAATCTTTCTATCATGGATGATTCTGTTGGTATTAAAAATACTGGTGGCAAAGCTAGCATCACAGCAATACACAAGTCACCACAGTAGGACAAACTGATAGACGCATGGTGGTAGATTGCTATGTAGTTGTAATTAGTTCCATCTTTCTTCTTCAGTATTTCATTATATAGGAGCCCTGGTGGAAAAGTGGCTGAAGTACTCAGCTGCTAACTGAAGGTTGACAGTTGGAACCTACCAGCTGCTCTGAGGGAGAATAATGTGACAGTCTACTTTTGTAAAGATCTGTAGCCTTGGAAACCCCATAGGACAGTCCCACATTGTTCTACAGGGTCGCTCTAAGACAGAATCAACTTGATAGCAATAGGGCTTTAAAAATTTCATTATATAAATATACCACAATTTACAATTTTTTATTATTATGACTCAAGCTGCTTTTCTTGTCTTCTTGGGAATAAATGCATCATTTCTTTTGGACTGCAACGTTCTATAGTTATATAAAAGTTCAGAAATTTTCTTTAAAACAGTCAGAATGCCAAATTGCCTCACAAGAAATTTTCAAATGTGTGTAAATTTATAATAGATGATAGGTAGGAAAGTGTTATTGATTTCATGGCCAATTTATGTGTCTGTTCTATAGTGCAAGGGGTATGTTTGCTATGGAGTGTGGCACTTTAGAATAAGTACTCATCCTTAAGGTTGGTTTGAATTGCAATGTCAGCAGTTCACACTCACCAGCTGTTCCTCAGAAACCCTATACAGGGTCACTGTCAGTTGAAATAGACTCAACAGCACTTAACAACAGCAACAACAAGGGGAATGCTTGGATGAAACATCTATCCTATAGGGTTGGTAATCTTGAATGAAATAACATCTAAGCTAGGACTTAAAGAATGAATTGAAATTAGCTAGGTGTGTGGTATGGAACCCCCCTTGCATTAAACAATTTGACCTCTGGTCCTGGTTCCTGAGAGTCACATCTGAGGCCAATGAATGGAGGCTCACAAGACCAAGAGGAATCTTCTGAAGACTGCTTTCTGACTAAGCATCAGGAGGCATGATATAACATGTCTCAGTGACCACATGTTGGTGGTGTTTTGGGGTGCCATTGAGTCGGTACTGACTCATAGCAACCCTGTGCACAACAGAACAAAACGTTGTCTGGTCCTGGTCCAACTTCACAATTGTTGTCATGCTTGAGCCCATTGATGCTGCCACTTTGCCATTCCATCTCGTTGGGGATCATCCATTTTCTCTGACCCTCCACCTTACCAAACATGATATCCTTCTCCAGTGACTGGTCCCTCCTGACAATATGCCTGAAGTATGAGAGATGAAGTTTGGCATTCCTGGCTTGTAAGCAGCATTCTGGCTGCACTTTTTCCAACACAGATCTGTTTGTTCTTTTGGTAGCCCATGGCTCTTTCAAAATTCTCCTTCAACACCATAACTCAGAAGCATCATTTCTTTTACTGAAAATGCCATGTCTTGGGTCAGGTGCACCTTAGTCCTCAAGCTGACATCTTTGCTGTCAACACTTTAAAAAGGTCTTGTGAAGCAAATTTGCCTAATGCAATACGTTGTTTGATGTCTTGACTGCTGCTTCCCTGAGTGTTGATAATTGATCCAAAAAGAATGAAGCCCTTGATAACTTCAATCTTTTTTCTCTTGATAAGAATGTTGTTTATTGGTCCAGCGGTGAGGATTTTTGTTTTCTTTACATTGAGATGCAATCCATACCGAAGACTGTGTTCTTTGATCTTCATCAATAAGTATTTTAAGTCCTCTTCACTTTCAGCAAGCTAGGTTGTATCATCTGCCTATCACAGGTTGTTAATGAGTCTTCCTCCAATCCTGATGTTATGTTTTTCTTCATATAACCCAGCTTCTCAGCTAATTTGCTTAGCATACAGGTTGAATAAGTATGGTGAAAGAATACAACCCTATTGCACACCTTTATTAATTTTAAACCATTCAGAGTTCCCTTGTTCTGTTAGAACAGCTGTCTCTTGGTCCATGTACAGATTCCTCATGAGCACAATTAAGTGTTCAGGAATACTCATACTTCTCAGTGTTGTCCATAGCTTGTCATGATCCACACAATCGAAATCCTTTGTGTCAATAAAGCACAGGTTAACATACTTCTGGTATTCTCTGCTTTCAGCCAAGATCCATCAGACATATCCCTCCTTCCTCGGCTTCTGAATCCAGCTTGCACCTGTGGAAGTTCTCTGTCGGTGTATGCTTGCAGCTGTTTCTTTATTATGTTTAGTAAGCTTTACTCACATGGGATATCAAAGAGATTGTCTGATGATTTCTGCGTTCTGTTGGGCCACCTCTCTTTGGAACAGGTACAAATATGATTCTCTTCCTATCAATTGGCCAGATAGTTGTCTTCCAAATTTCTTGGCATAGATGAGTAAGTGTCTCCTGTGCCGCCTCACTTTCTTGAAAAATTTAAATTTTTATTCCATCAATTCCTGGTGCCTTGTTCTTTTCCAGTTCCTTCAGTACACCTTGGACTTCTTCCTTCAGTATCATTGGCTCTTGATCATT